AAATTGAAAAGTCATTTCTTTTTTCTTTTTTTTTTTTTTTAAGATTCATTTATTTATTGGAAAGTCAGATATACAGAGAGGAGGAAAGACAGAGAGGAAGATCTTCCGCCCCAAGTGAGCACAACGGCCAATGCTATGCCGATCCGAAGCCGGGAACCAGGAACTTCTTCCGGGTCTCCCACATGGGTGCAGGGTCCCAAAGCCTTGGGCCGTCCTCGGCTGCTTTCCTAAGCCACAAGCAGGGAGCTGGATGGGAAGTGGAGTTACCAGGATTAGAACTGGCACCCATATGAGATCCCGGCGCATTCAAGGCGAGGACTTTAGCCGCTAGGCCACGCCACTGGGCCCGAAAAGACATTTCTTAATAGCAGTATCTGGTCTTGTGCTTGTCCAGTTTTCCTTAAGTGGTGAATGTTTTCCATCTGAAATTCGAATCAAAGTCTATGTTTTGTCTCACTTGATGGAGACCAGTGGTTTACCACTGAGAACTGTTTTTCAGTGTCTGAATTACCTTGTTATTTATTTAAATTTCCTGTAAACATTTTCTTCGTTTTTACTTGCATGCTTTAGTAAGAGAGAATCTCCCTTATTCCCTTAACTCCTTTTTAGTAACGGTAACAATTCGTAGATTTTTTTTGTTCAGCACATGAAAGGCAGTTTTGGTCACTATGTATTCTCCAAAGTTGACCCAGATGTTGCCTGCTTCAAGCTGTTTCCTTTGTGCCTTTGAGGTGACCTCTTTCGTCTTTGAACATTTTAAGAGTGTAAAATGTAATTCATTTGAGAATATATATATATATATATTGCATGTACTGGGGAATGAATCAGTGGGTGGAAGGTCACTGCTTTTCAATAGATGAAAGCAAATCTAAATATATATATACATTTAAAGAAAGATTTAGAGCCGGAGATGCAGAAAACAATATTTTCCATCTCCAAGTTCTTTGCAAAGTGGCAGATACTATGGTTGATATTAAGTATCTGTCTCTCAGTACTAGGGATCAAAAATATGTGACATAGATAAAGCTGACAATTGAAGAGCATGAAATGTTCAGTTAGTGTGTGTGTACATACCAAATGCAAACTATATATAAACGTACGTGCATACAGCGTATCATATAATGAGAAGTTATTAACGTGACATGTACAAAAGCTTCCTAGCCGTAGCAGCCCGAGATTCGGTGAGTAAATACGCTAACACACACACGGGATGTGCTGGCAATCATACAGCACTTATTTTTTAAATTAAGGATGGGACTTTGCTGTAAGTTTTTAGAATGTTAGGTTCTATTCAGAATTTATAAAAAGGAAAGAAAAAGACTTTGTATTTATATTTTTTGCAAAAATGTTTCAAGAGTTTGTCTCATTCAGTACCTCTGTTTTTACTTAACACTTCTGTGAAATTTTATTGTGTATCATTCATTGTTACATGTGCTTTACAAGTGCTGAGTCCTCATAACCACTACCATGGTTTCATGTGTTAAGAGAACAATCTAAATGCTTTTTGCCTAAATACCCATTTCTTCCTGTGCTTTTATTTGACAAAAGTAGATTAGATGTAAGCCAAATTTAGTATAACATGAAGCTCTTAAGATTGTATATGGAAACTTCTGTACTGCTCAGTTTCACTAATTGATGTTGCAAAGATTGAAGTATTTTAATAATGGAAATACAAAGACAGAGACTGTTTGACACGTTTATGATATAGAGAAAAGTAGAGACCTAGACAGAAATAAAAGTTTCTTTCACATCACCGGCCATTATTTTGTCTTACTTCTGCACAGAGTAATCACTATGGAATTTTTGATGGCAAATAGACTTGAAAATGTATTTGGAATGACAATTATGCTTAGCAGCACAAACCCATCATCTGTCCTTATAATGAGACTTTGTTCTTGTTCCTGCAGCAAATAGGGGGAGATGAAGTACAGCTGCTTAATGAGAAAGTGCTTGCTTTTCTTCCATATTTTCTATTTTATTATAAACACTGTTTGCTGTTGGCTTTGCCTGTGGGAAGGCCTCTTTTTGTTGCTTTAGTTTCCAGCACTAAGGTTATGTGGGGTTTATTATTTTTTATTGTTTTTGCCTTTGCCTTGTGGTTCTCTCGCAGCAACAAGAAAAATCCCATTAAGTTTTCTGTTTAATGCATGCAGTGCAAACGAGGCTCAATAATTCTGTGAGGCTCTTCAGTAAACTGACCCCAAGCAGGTGGATACCTTCCTGGGCCCCTTGCTTACTGGGTTCTGTTTTCCACCCCACTCTGCATACACTCTAACCCATCGGAGGGACGAAATGGCAGGGGAAGAAAGTTCACCTGGCATTTCAGGTTTTTTTGTGAAACCAGTTTGTGGGCTGTGATTATTGAAAATGTTCTGGACAGCTTTTGGAAAGTTGTGCTGTATCTGCCCTCTTCTGTATTTGGAAAATGCCAGGAAATCATTAGTATAAATTGTATTTCTCACATTTAAATTGAACCTGGTAGACAAATCAATTGTAACTTCCTTAATATAATGAACAGCATGTATTTGTTGACTAAATAAGGAGACCTGTAGCTTTGCTACAAAATGGACATTTTTCCTGCTGAGCTGTCCACGCCCATTTAGAATTCAGATATTTTCCGTTTCATTAGGACAGATTAGTGAGCCAAAAAGTATTGTGAATCAGCACTAGGTGCGAAGGGGAAACACCTGGTGGTTGGCATAGTCTGCAACCCCGGAAGCAAAGGACCGAAGCCTGATGTGTGTGGCTTTAAGATACAGTGAGCAGATGAAGAGAGAGCATGGTTTAATCCAAGTGTCAGTGTGGACAAGCTGCGTTATGGTGCAGAATTTCCTCAGAGACCAAAGTCATGTTCATTTACTTTCTGTTAATTTCATTTGGGCCTGACCTAATGAAGGAGTGGATGATTTCATGGATGCTTTAGAACCATTTTAAGTTGGTATTCTTCCTGCAGTTAAATATAGAACATTGAATTTTGACACACACCTTCTCTCCTTCCCACCTGCTCTGTCATTTATTTCCCACCCACTGTTTCACAATACTCGTAACTTTTCATCAAGTTTCAGTTTTCTTTTTAATCTTTCAAAGTTGTTTTTTTTTTTTTTTTAACCTGGTACCATATAACCGATCCTCCAAAGCCAGAGTTAAGAAGGGCTCTGTGGGTCAGTGTGAACCACGCGGCAGGTGAGAAGTGCATCAGACTTGCCACGTGGGGTCCGCTCCTTGCTCCTCCTCCTCCTGGGTTGCAAGTGGAGCAGGATAGTGTAGCTGGTCTGTTCCTTGATCTCGGAGCCTGTCCCTTGGCACAGTTACCTTTGTAGTTCCTCTGGAGAAGAGGAAGTCCTTCTCTTGCACCCCTGTCTAAACCAGCTCCTATTTGAGGTTCAAAGAAAAGTATTCACAGCTCTTTGAAGTGCAGAACGGGAATGATGCAGGAAATTTCCCTCCAGTCGTTTTCTTCATGGATCTGGTGGACGCCAAGAAGCAGCCCACTGGGATTTTGTCAGTTCCTGCTTCCTGCCTCTAGATGTCCCACAATCCTGAAATTCAGGCTACTACTGCCATTTGCTTATCCCTGTGTATTTTTCTTTGAGGGAACCCTTTAGACTGTCATTCTGCTATTGGTCGGCTAAACCAGTGCTATTATTTGAGGGTTTTTTTTTTTTTTGGCGAAACTTTGTTTTTTAAAGATTTCAATTTTAAAAACAATGTTTGGTTCATAGCAAGTTAAAAGGTATTAAGAGGAAAATGTAGATTTCCTTCGTACTCACACCTACATGTGTCCCTCTCCGTGATCATGATCTTTACCAAGCTGGTAGGATGATACAAATACAGTTCTTTTCATCATCCTTTGGAAAAGGTGTGTCAGAAAGAGAAGGTTCACAGAACGCCATCTGATGACTCCATTTGCTCTTTTAGTCTAAAATGAGTTGGGGAATTCTTTGGTTTTTATTTTTTAAAGATTTACTTTTATTGGAAAATCGGATTTCCAGAGAGAAGGAGATACAGGGAGAAAAATCTTCTGTCTGCTGGTTCATTCCCCCAGTGGCCGCAATAGCTAAGGCTGAGCAGATCTGAAGCCAGGAGCTTCTTCCGGGTCTCCCATGCAGATACAGGGTCCTAAGGCTTTGGGCCCCCATCAACTGCTTTCCCAGAAAGCTAGATGGGAAGTGAAGCAACTGGGATATGAACCAGCTGCCCATATGGGATCCCGTGCATGGCAGGCAAGGATTTAGCCACTAGGCTACCATGCTGGGCCCTTAGATTTGTTTTTGAAAGGATGACAGAGAGAGATTTTCCATCTGCTGGTTCAATACCCACATGGCTGCAGTAACCAGGGCTGGGCTAGGCTAAAACAAGGAGCTTTTTCCAGGTCTCTCACATGGGTAGTAAGGGGCCAAACATTTAGGTCCTCTTTCTCCAATTTCCCAGGCCATTAGCAGAAAAGTAGATCAGAAGTGAAACAATTGGGCTATAAGCCAGCTCCCGTGTGGTTTGCTGGCCTCGCAGGTGGCAGCTTTACCCCGAAAGCTGGGAATTTCAGAATACAAAATGAGTAGTCAGGCCCGGCGCGGTGGCCTAGTGGCTCAAGTCCTCGCCTTGCACATGCCAGGATCCCATATGGGAGCCTGTTCTAATCCCACTTACTTTCCAGCTCCCTGCCTGTGGCCTGGGAAAGCAGTCAAGGACAGCTCAAAGCCTTGGGACCCTGCACCTGCGTGGGAGACCCAGAAGAAGCTCTCGGCTCCTGGCTTCGAAGTGGCGCAGCTCCAGTCATTGCGACCGCTTAGGGAGTGAATCAGTGGATGGGAGATCTTCCTCTCTGTCTTTCCTTTTCTCTGTATATATCTGACTTTACAATAAGAATAAATAAATCATTTTTTTAAATTAGTCATTAAAATTTTGGCTATAATTTTGATGGAAGAAATTAAGAAAGACCGGGTAACTTCTGATACATCTCATTATCAGTTTTGGATGACCTTGTCTTGTTGTTTTCTCAGTTGCTTTAGGTCGTAACCAGCCTTTGAAAAAGGAGAAACCAAAATGGAAAAGCGATTATCCTATGACAGATGGACAGCTGCGCAGCAAGAGGGATGAATTTTGGGACACTGCACCAGCTTTTGAAGGCCGCAAAGAGATTTGGGATGCCCTGAAGGCTGCTGCGCATGCTTTTGAGAGCAACGATCATGAACTGGCACAAGCAATCATTGACGGTGCAAACATCACACTGCCGCATGGTAGGTGGGGGCTCCCCAAGGGCAAAGCACACACGATCGCCAGCGACCAAATGGGAAAACACTTTTGGCCTTTTTTTTCTTTTGCATTACTCTAACTCTTTTCTTTGAAATAGTAAGAATAACATTCCTCTTTGTGTATATTTCAACTGAAGATAAATTTTACTTATGCGTGTTGATTTTTTTTGTTGTTGTTGTTGTTGAAGTATTTAGGTTCACCCACTTGAAAGGTAGAGTGATAGAACACACACAGGTTCCCTGCCCCAGCGCCCACCACAGTCAGGCTGAGCACGGCTAAAGCCAGGAGCCTAAAACCCGATCTGATCTTTACATTTTTATTTATTTAAGAGACAGACTGACAGAGTTGCCATCGCCAATTCCAGCTGGAAGCCAGGGGGTAGGAACTCGGCCGAGGTCTCCTGTGTGTATGTGACAGCCGTCACTGCTGCCAGCAGCACAGGGGAGCTTGCCAGGTTGCCTGGTGTCTGGGTCTGCCCATGCAGTCCTTGAGCCTCGGCTGCGGCCTCCCCGGGGTCTGTGTTAGTGGGCAGTGCGGTCAGGAACCAGGCGCTGAGACTGAACCTAGGCAGTCCCCGTTACGGGATGCAGATGGCTCAGCCGAATGCCCACCCCATAGCATGTCCTCCAGGACAGTCTTCTGCTCCTGGAAACCTCTCTGCCTCACCTGGGCGTGTAACTCTTGAGGACAGCCATAGCCCTGGGTGGTTCCGGGATGCGGGGACCCAGACCCATGCCTCTGATAACTCTGGCTTGTTCTTCTGGGTTAGAGACATTAAAATATTTCATATGACATTGATTTTATTTCTATTTGTTATGCTTTTGATTTCTGTTTTAGTAAATCTACATTTTCTCTTCAGTTTTTCAAGTTAATGTAATTCTAGGTTGTACCTTCAGGCCTCTGTAATAGGCAAGCTTCCTAAGTTCTCTAGAGTTGTTTTCTTTTCATCATTATTGTTTTGTTGCTGTTTGCCCTAAAATCTCCCCTTGGTTTTCTACATTATTAGTATGTCTGTTGTTTCCTTTTTTGTTGTTTTTCATCTTAAGATTTATTTTAGTTTTATTGCGAAGTCAGATATACAGAGATGAGGAGATACAGAGGAAAATTTTCCGTCCGACGATTCACTCCCCAAGTGGGCTCCACGGCCAGTGCCGATCTGAAGCCAGGAGCCAGGAACTTCTTCCAGGTCTCCCACGTGAGTGCAGAATCCCAAGGCTTTGGGCCGTCCTCCACTGCTTTCCCAGGCCACAAGCAGGAGCTGGATGGGAAGTGGGGCTGCCAGGACATGAACCAGCACCCATATGAATATGAGATCCTGGCGTGTTCAAGGCAAGGACTTTAGCCACTAGGCCACTGCGCCAGGCTCAGTGTTTCTCTTTTTCATTATTTTTAGGATTTTAATTTTTAGCATTGTTTACATAGTTGAGAGGGATGCATGCCCATGTGGGTCTCTGATTAGGGTGAGTAGAGCCAAGGTATGAAAAAAGGTGTGTAGGACAAATGTTTGCTTTTTTTTCCCTCTTCCTGTGTCCCCAGGAAGGGAGCCCCAAGTGTCAACACATGAACTCCAAGGTTGGACCACATATATTGTGATTTTCTCCATGCCAGGTTTGAGTCCAGCCATCTGGTTGGGGAGTCCTCCAAGAAAACTCCCCTAGGTGACTACAAACTTGACTTTTTTTTTTTTTTTTTAAGATTTATTTTTATTATTTTTTCATTGGAAAGGCGGATATACAGAGAGGAGAGACAGAGAGGAAGATCTTCCGTCCGATGATTCACTCCCCAAGTGAGCGCAACGGGCCGATACTATGCCGATCCGAAGCCAGGAGCCTCTTCCGGGTCTCCCACGCGGGTGCAGGGTCCCAAAGCTTTGGGCCGTCCTCAACTGCTTTCCCAGGCCACAGGCAGGGAGCTGGAAGGGAAGCGGGGCTGCCGGGATTAGAACCGGCGCCCATATGGGATCCCGGGCGTGCAAGGCGAGGACCTTTAACCACTTGCGCCACCGCGCCGGGCCCAAACTTGACTTTTGTGCCAGCTAGTGCAGGGTCAGGTTTGGTCCATCACCTAATACCAGCCAACACATACCAGTGGATGCAGCTCCTGGTCAATTCTGCCTTGGCCCCATCTCTAGCAAACCAGCAGGTGACCGTAGCCTAGCCTAGTCCAGGTAGTGGCTTAGTCAGGGTGACCCCCAATAAGCCCCATCAGGCCCGCTCCCAACACCGATTTTGGCATGTGCTGCAGCTTAGCCCGATCCATCCTGCATCCCATCTGACTCTTGTGCGCACCCATGGGTGCTACAGCTTAGCTCAGCCTGCCACGCCCTCAGACCCAGCTCACACACATACTGATTTGTGTTGCTGCCTTGCCCAGCCAGGTCTGCCACCAACCCTGGTTCCTGTGGTCACTAGTAGGAGCTAGAGCCTAGCAGAGTAGCACCCACAGTTTCTCTGCCGAACCTGATCCCAGTCCTGGATCTTGTGCGTGCCAGGGGATAGTGTGGTCCAGCCTGCCATAACTTGTACCCAGTCCCATCATTTGCCAGAGGGTGCTGCAGCCTAGCCCAACCAGCCTGCACTCATTCTGGCTCTTATACATGCCAGCAGGTGCAAAGTCTAGCCCAGTCTGGCCATTCCTCAGACTGGCCTACCGGCAAGTCTCAGCTCTCTTGTTTACCAGTGGAAGCAGTGGCCCAGCAAAGGAGTCGCTGAAGTTCATCTACCAGGCCTGCTTCCAGCCCCAGATCTTATGTGTGTCAGTGAGTGCTGCAGACCAGGTGAGATGACCCACCCCCATTTTGGGTATTTGCTAGCAGGTGGTATAGCCTGACTCAGCCTGGCCCACCCTTAGTACCAGCTCTTGCTGGCAGGAGCAACAGCCTAGTCCAGCCTGGCCCACGCCAAACCCTCTTGTGAACAAGTAAATGTTGCAGTCCAAACCTGCCTGGCCTATGCCCTGTCCTGGCTCTTTCTCAGACCAGTGTTCTGTGGACTGGCCCAGCCCACTCCCAGACCTGGCTCACACATATGCCAACAGGTGCTATGGTCCAGCCTGGTCCTAGCCCTTTCTCACGCTGCCCAGCAGGAGCTGCAGCCTAGCAGGGGAGCTCTCCAAGTTCCTCTAGCAGGGCCCCTCCCAGCCCCAGATGTGCTGATAGGTGCTGTGGCACAGCCTGATATGGCTAAACCCCAGTCCTGGCACTCACTGGTGGATGCTGCAGGCCAGTCAGCCCCATTCCAGCTCTTGCTGTTGAATGCTACAGCCTAGCTTAGCCCGACCCACCCAACCTGTCCCAACCTAAAACCGGCTCTCATGTGAACCAGTGGGTGTTACAGCCTAGCCTAGTCTGGCCCACCCCCAAACTCAGCCCACATGCATGCCACAGCCCCAGTTCTCACACTCCTCAGTGGGAGCTGCAACCTAGCAGAGTAGTCCCCAGAGTTCTGCTGCCAGGCCTATTCAGTCCTCAGTCCTAGATCTTGTGGGTACTGATGGGTGCTTCAGTCCAGCCTGGCATGGTCCACCCAGAGACTCCGCTCTCATTGGCATTATTGCAGCCTGTCCCAGCTGGGCATTACCCATACCTTGTCCTTGCTGTCATGCGTGCCAACTGGTCCTATAATCTTGCCTGACCTGACCTGTCCCCATCCCCAGCTGTTGTGCTCCCCAACAGGAGTTGCAGCCCAGAAGGGGAGTTCCCCTAGTACCCCTTCCAGGATCTCAGGCATATCAGCCGGTGCCATGGCCCTGCTTGGCATGGTCTGCTCTTTGCATATGCTGGTGAGTGCTGCAGCCTGGTCCAGCTCAGCCTCTTCCCAGCCCTGGCTCCTGTGAGTATCAGATTGTTGGCAGATTCTTGGCAGGTGAGTTCTGTGGTCCAGCCTGGCTCAGCCTGTCACCACCCCTAGCTCTCTGTGTAAACCAGTGGGTACTGCAGTCCCACAGAGGGGACCTCACAATCTGCTCAAGAAGCTTCCCCCACATATGTTTCTCTTGTTTTCTGGTGGGATCAGAGGACCAGCTGATATGGCTCCACCCCTGCTGGCCGGTACTTTGGCCTAGCCCAGCCAGGCGTGAGCCCCAGCTCCACCTTTTGTGTGTCCAGTAGGCAGTGGACAATGCTATTTAGCCCAGCCCCAGGTCTCCCCCGTGAGCAGGTATCTTGGTCTGACCCAAACATACCCTCCAGTTTCCCTCCTCTAAACCATTCCGTCTCAGCCACTGTATTCCAGTACTTCCCCAGACCCCTTTGCTGAGGCAGTCAGCAGCTCCCCAGCCTGGGGCCTGGGTTGGCATGTCCCAGGCCGGAGTTCCCTGCCTTCCCCAAGTATTTAAAAAAAAAAAAAAAAGCAGCTATGCTGGCACACTGGTCTAGTTAATACAGTTTTGGCATTAACCAGGCCCAGAATGCCTGCTAGCCTCAGCTGTGTTTCTCCCACCAACCTAAGCAGTTGTCTACAGCTGGGACAGTGTTTTTCATTATTTAATCATCTGCTTTATGTTCTTTGACTCTTTCAAATAAAAGATGTTTCTCTTACTCTGCTTGCCAACTTTCCAAATCTCCATTAATTTCCTGATTAATTATACTTCCAAGAAACATTCTCTCTCTTTTTAATAGCTGTCTGTTCTTTATTATTATCAAAATTTATTAGCACAGGCTTGTGCTATTAAATTTCAAAAAAACTTATTTGAAAGGCAGAGAAGCTGGTTGGCCACAGTAGTTTTAGTAGTCTGGAACTCCATCTGAATCTCCCATATGTATGGTGGGGTCCCAAGTACCAGACCGTCAGCCGATGCTCCCTCAGGTGCATTCGCAGGTCCCAAGTACCAGACCAACAGCCAATGCTCCCTCAGGTGCATTCACAGGGAGCTGTATTGGAGATGCAGCTACTGGGATTCCAGACTGGCACTTCAGTGTGGTATGCTGGTGTCGCAGATGAAAGCTTCACCTGCTGCATTACGATGTTGGCCCTTTGTATTATTAACATTTGTCAGACACCCACTGCTGATTTTTTTCCCCCACACATATGTAAAAATCTCTCCTGGCTCAGTGCAATGGCTTGATTGGCTAATCCTCCCCGTTTAAGCACAAGGATCCTAAATGGGCACCGGTTCCTGTTCTGGCTGCTCTACTTCACATCCAGCTCCCTGCTTATAGCCTGGGAAAGCAGTCGTGGATACCCCTTAGAAAGCCTTGGGACCCTGCACCTGCATGGGAGGCCCAGAAGATGCTCCTGTCTTCAGATTGACTGTGTTCACAGTGCATCCAGCAAGATAAGCTGGAAAGACAGATGACAGGCTGGGAACCTGTTGAGGCTCCACGAAGAGGAGGTGGAGGAGCCCTTGCCAAGTGTGCATGCTGCCCCCCTTGAGTCCTTGCAGGTGTTTTCAGACTCTCCTTGATGATAGGCGAGTATCTGTGCTCTGTCTAGTCAGCTAACCAAGGACAGACAAAACTCCTTATCTAGTACCTGTTTCAATAGCGGTTTGACCAAGGTGCCTTGTTACCTTTCCTTGAACTCCAAGTTCAGACATGACCTAAGTCTGAGTTGTTTTTCAGATGTTGTTTTACTAATTGTATAAGAACTGTAACCCTGGAAATAAACGTTGTCAGTTGCCCAAGAGAGCACTGTCTGCACCCCACTCCCGTCGCCCTGCCCTCAACAGGGTTCTTTTCAGCCAGTATCCTCCCCAGAGACCCACAAGGTAAACTTGCAGGCTGTGTTCCAGCCAGTGCAGCCACTTGGGAGTGACCCGGCAGATTCATTTTTCTCTATATATACTGATTATTCTCTGTATACTCATTATCCTCTCTGTATAAAATAAAATAAAATATTTTATTATCTAGTAAAAATAAATGCATTTTGGACCCGGCGCAATGGCGTACCGGCTGAGTCCTCACCTTGAGTGTGCCGTGATCCCATATGGTCATTGGATCTAATCCCGGCTGCTCCACTTCCCATCCAGCTCCCTGCTTGTGGCCTGGGAAAGCAGTTGAGGACGGCCCAAAGCCTTGGGACCCTGTACCTATGTGGAAGACCTGGAGGAAGTTCCTGACTCTTGGCTTCGGATCTGCGCAGCATCGGTCATTGCTGTTACTTGGGGAGTGAATCTTCGGATATAAGAGCTTTCTCTCTGTATCTCCTCCTCTCTGTATATCTGACTTTGCAATAAAAATAAACCTTTAAAAAAAAAGCATCTTAAAATAATCTGTCCCCATGCTTGCTTCGGCAGCACATATACTACAATTGGAATTATACAGAGAAGATTAGAATGTCCCTGCACAAAGATGATATGCAAAATGATCTGTCCTGCATTGGAAAATTTATAGTAGAATGACATTTCACTGAGTATTTTGAGCTTTATTTTTTATTGGAAAGGCAAATTTACAAAGAGAAGGAGATACAAAAAGATCTTCTAGCTGCTGGTTCACTCCCCAGATGGCCACAACAGTAAGAGCTGCGCAAATCCAAACCCAGGAACTTCTCCAGGTCTCCCACGTGGGTGAAGGTCCCAAGGCTTTGGGCTGTCCTCGACCGCTTTCCCAACTACAAGCAGGGAGCTGGATGGGAAGTAGTTCAGCCAGGACACAATGGGCACCCATATGGAATCTCATTGCATACAAGGTGAAAATTTTAGTCACTGAACTGCCATTGCACTGTGCTCCAGTATTAATCTTTAGTTTTAGATTAACCCCTGGCTTTTTTTAAAAGACTTAATTATTTGAAAATCAAGAGTTACAGAGAGAACAAGACAGAGAGATCTTTTGTGCACGGGTTCTCTTTCCAGATGACCTCAGTGGCCAGGGATGGGCCAGCTGAAGCCAGCAGGTTCATCGGACCTCCTATATGAGTGACAGGGACGCACTGCTGCTTTCCCAGGCAGTGGAGCAACAGGGGCATGAACTGATGCCCATAAGGAATACTGGGCTTCACCGGCAGCAGCTTCATCCACTCGGCCACAGAGCCAACTCCAGTCCCTGGATTCTTTAACTCTGATGTGACTGGGGGTTCTGGTTGACATATTCTTGTTTCATTGTCTCTTTCAGTTTTGTAATGATCATTTTATATAATACAAGGTAAAGGACCTTCCTCTATGCATAGCTTTATCATCCTCCTCTTTTTCATACCTGTAAGCTTACGTTTTGCAGTGTACAAGCCCACAAGTAGAAGAGTCATGTGTGTTAGTTTCAGTTTTAGAAACCTGAGATTTAGCAGTTTTGAATTCCTTTCCTAGTACTTAACGAAGTTATTTGTAAGAATATCTGATTGTGTTCTAAAATCGTGGCCTTGCTTTCAAGTCCCTGGGGGGAAGAGCTCTGCTTCATGTAAGGCAGGACCCTTGTGCATCCAGTGGGGTGCGGCTGGCGCCGAAGACTCAAGTCCCTTGTCTTCCTTAGCTCTGTAAACTGCAGGAAAAGTCATATCAGTCCCACCTAATAATAAATCTGGGGAGACTTACTCTTGGTACTTCGAGAATATTAAATGAGCTCCCTCTCTAGGCTTAATTATATTTTTCTGCATAAGCATGAAGGAGTCAGGCTGTTGTCTGAGCCTTTTTCCTCCAAAGCGCTGTAATAAATTTATGATATTAATATTATTGAGTCATTAACTGAATTTTGCTGTTTCTTTCTAATGCTTATCAGTGAGATTTCTTAGATGAGTCTTTTAATTAGATTCTGTAAACTAGCTCAGTACGTTTTTTGTTTTTTTATGATTTTACGATTTATTTATTTATGTGAAAGGTAGAGTTACAGAGAAAGGGACAGGCCCAGATCTATCACATGCCGGTTCACTCTCCCGGATGGCTGCCTTGGCCGGAGCTGCGCCGGGCCAACACCAGGAGTCAGGAGCTCCATCTTGGTCTCCCACATGGGTACAGGGTCCCAGGGGCTTGGGCTATTTTCCACTGCTTTCCCAGGTGCATTAGCAGGGATCTGGATCAGAAATAGAGCAGAGCAGGATCCTGCACAATAGCCTGCTGCTTCAATCCTTTCTGCATCTGCAAGGATCCTATATGGACACCGGTTCCTATCCTGACTGCTCCACTTCCCATCCAGCTCCCTGCTTGTGGCCTGGGAAAGCAGTGGAGGACCCTGCACCCGCGTGGGAGACCTGGGAGAAGCTCCTGGCTCCTGGCTTTGGATCAGCTCAGATGCAGCTGTTTGGGCCACTTGGGAACTGAAAAGAAGAAGTAGAGCAGGCAGAACTTGAACAAACACCCTAACAGGATGCCGGCACTGCAGGCATGTCAGAGACCCGGAAAACAGGCCATGCATTTTTATTGCTCTGAAGGTCCCCCTAAGAATTTATTATTTAAGAAACTGCATTGATAATTCTTAAAGTTTAGAAATTAAAATAAAGGCACTATAATGACATGGGAGATAGAATATTTTTGCCAGTCTCTTGTATTTAGAAATGAAATGTTCTTAAAGAATCTGATGGCTAGTAAACTATAACTTGTGTCATCTTCTCTCTAGACTCAAAGAGACAAAAATGGTTGAGAATTATAAACGTAGGTTATTACACTCCTCTGCTCTCTCATCCTTTTGCTTTAGTTAGAGTAATCGAAGTCTGGAAATAGCTGGGGTGGGAGGCTCAGTGAGCAGGCTTGTATGTGAGGAAGACCTCCTTTCCGTCCCATTCTGGGGAAGATGGGAAAAGCAGGGTGTCTGATGAGGCCCCAGGGAGCATGCTATACCAACTGCTACAATTTTTTTTTTTTTAGTTTTAAAAACTTGTTTATTTGTTTGAAAGGCAGAGAAAGAGGGAAAGACAGAATTTTCCATTCAGTTGTTCACTGCGCAAATGCATACAACAGGTGGGATTGGGCCCAGCACAATGGCTCAGTGGTCAAATTCTCACCTTTCAAGCACCAGGATCCCATGTGGGCACTGGTTCATGTCCCAGCTGCTCTACTTCCCATCCTGCTGTGCCGAGGAAAGCAGTAGAGGATGGTGCAAAGCCTTACAACCCCATATCTTCACGGGAGACCCAGGGGAAGCTCCTGGCTTCAGATCGGCTCAGTTCCAGCCACTGAGATCATTTGGGCAGTGAAGCAGCAGGTGGAAGATCTTACTCTGTTTCTCCTTCTCTTTGTAAATCTGATCTGCCTTTACAATAAAAAAAAAATTTTTTTTTTTTTAATGAAAACAGAGAAGCAAACAAAAAATCAGTTGGAACTGGGCCAGGCTGAAGCTGGGAGCTCCTGGCTCCTTGCTTTGGATCAGATTAGCTCTGGCCATTGTGGCCACTTGGGGAGTGAACCAGTGGACGAAGCATCTTATCTTTGTTGCTGCTTCTCTTAATTTTGATTTTTCAATAAAAATATTATAATAAAATTTTTTTTTTCAAGAAGATTTATTTTTATTGGAAAGGCAGAGACTTACAGATAGAGAAGGAGAGACAGAATGAGAGGTCTTCCATCTAGTGGTTCACTGTCTAACTGGCTGCAAAGAGCAAAGCTGAGCTGGTTCAGAGCTGGGAGCCAGTAGCTTCATTTGGGTCTCCCATTGCGCTGGCTCCTGTGTGAGGGTGAGGGTTGGACAGTGCCTGCATCACCTGTCTCAGTGTCTGGATCCAGTCCCAGCTCTGCTTCAGATTCCAGCTTCCTGCTGGCATAGCCTGGGTGCTGATGGTGGTGGCCCTGTCACCCACTCAGGACCCCTGTGCTTGTCGTGGGGTCTGAGAAGTACACCAGAAGTGTCTTACACCATGCCTTTCAAATAAGTAAAAAATAATGATTAATGTTCTAAAAACAAACAAAAAATTCTGTTGAAGGTTTTTTTAAATTTTTTTAAGAACCTGCATTACCAGGAGTTTTCTATAAATTTATTATAATTGCTAGGTAACTTGTTTCTTTAAGTCTGTACAGCAGCTGTGCAGGCAGGCCAGATACTATTACCATGGAGGAAACTGACTCAGCATGTCTAAGGTTGGGCTTTTACTTTCCTTTAGGTCTGGCCAGATCCCAGCCACTCTGTGATCTTACTGTCTGTCCACAGTTTTGGTTGGTTCATCGGCTGCAAGTAGAACTGCCTGAACCCTCTGCTTCGTTTCTTTACATTCATTCTGTCACTTCACATGCCTGTAGCTTGCATGTTGATGCCTGCCTCTACCATAGGAGGTTTTGGTTATTGAAAAGAAGATCTCAAGCCCCCTGTGTTAGGGAAGAAACATCTGAGGAAAGACTTCCACCCCAGAGCAGGCCTTTGGCAGTGTTAAGCTCTGCCTGGAATGACATTGAAGTGCTGCATTTCTGATTCCAGCCCCTAGGATGCAGTAGGAGGTGCTGGGGTAGCTGAGTTCCAGGAGCACTGATCTTGAACCTAACGCAGCCCAGGCTGCTGCAGACCGTGGTTGAATTGCATCAGACGGGCTGCCGCTGTTCCCTCCCCACTGTTCACCTTCATCTGCTTTTGTTTTTCTGGAGTGGAAATAGAGACTTGAGGAGGGTTAGAGGAGCCTTGGAATTCTAGGCATTGGCCCACCCTTTACTCATTTTGGGAGTGTGATGATTTTTTTTCCGTATTAGTGGCATTGCCATCTGAATGTTTTGGTTTTTTATTTTGTTTTGTTCTGTTGTTTTTTTGTTTTTAGCTTAATAGAGGTATAATGAAGTACTATAAACAGGACGTATTTAAACAGTTTCATCAGCTTAAACTGGTCTGTGCCTATGAAGCTACCGCTATAATCAGGCTTAACATCTCTTTCTTTTTTTAGGATTTTTATTTACTTTTATTGAAAAGACAAATATACAGGGAGGAAATACAGATAGAAAGATCTTCCGTCCATTGATTCACTCCTCAAGTGGCCATAACAACTGTAGCTGAGCTACTCTAAAGCCAGGAGCCAGGAACTTCCTCTGGGTCTCCCACACAGATTCAGGGTCCCAAACATTGGATTATCCTCCACTGCTTTCCCAGGCCACAAACAGAGAGCTGGATGGGATGTGCAGCAGATAGGTTTAGAACCAGTGTCCATACGGAATCCCAGATGTGCAAGGCAAGGATTTAGCCACTAAGCTACCGCACCAAGCCCATCAAGCTAATATCGTTTTTATTTATTTATTTTTATTGCAAACTCAGATATACAGAGAGGAGGAGAGACAGAGAGGAAGATCTTCCGTCCGATGATTCACTCCACAAGTAACCGCAACGACCAATACTGCACCGATCTGAAGCCAGGATCCAGGAACTTCTTCCGGGTATCCCACACGGGTGCAGGGTCCCAAGGCTTTGGGCCATCCTCCACTGCTTTCCCAGGCCACAAGCAGGGAGCTGGGTGGGAAGTGGGGCTGCCAGGATTAGAATCAGCACCCGTATGGGATCCTGGCACATTCAGGGTGAGGACTGTAGCCGCTAGGCCACTGCACCAAGTCCCAAGGTGACATTTCATGTGCTTGCTGAAACATTAACTTTTGATTTTTGTAGACTTGTATACATATGCAAACCTCAAGTGGTAAAAATAGTAATTACACTGAGAGCCCACTGCAGTAGCACAGCGGCTAAAGTCCTCGCCTTGCACATGCCAGGATGTGCATCCCATATGAGTGCCAGCTAGTTCTAATCCTGGCAGCCCCGGTTCCCATTCAGCTCCCTGCTTGTGGCATGGGAAAGCAGTCGAGGATGGCCAATGCCTTGGGACCCTGTACCTGCGTGGGAGACCTGGAGGAAGCTCCTGGCTTCAGATCTGCTCAGCTCCAGCCATTGCAGCCACTTGAGGAGAGAATCAGCAGATAAAGATCTTCCTCTCTGTCTCTCCTCTGTGTATATCTGACTTTCCAATAAAAATAAATCTTTAAAAAAATGTTGCTCACAGTTGTGCAAGTGTTTAATAGAGGGTGGAAATGCCATCTGTGTCTCCTGCTTGCATTGGTAGTGATGTGGTACAGTGTCTCTCTAAGGTATCTGTTTATTCAAGAACAATTCAGTAAATGTGCCGTCTTTGCAATGTGGTGGTCACTACTGTAGAGAGCTGCTCGTGATCACAAGCGGACTTCAAGTGAATCCTCCCCACTACGTCATAGCAGTGTTTGAGCAGCATACAGCCTGAACAGAGAAGGGGACTTGTGTATTTGCACCTGCTGGCTGAGCTGTGTCACCTTAGAAGGCAGACCAGAGCAGACGCTTGGCGAGTTAGTGACCAATGACGGTCTCAGTTTGGAGACCTTGTCGTTTCAGCCCAGTGCCCGTGGCCACACGCATCGTGTCTCAGCTCGTCTGTCCGTTGATGCCCTTTGCTCAGGATCCCACCTCCTGTATTACTGCCCTGCATGTTTGTTCTCAGTAAGGATGGTTTTTTTAATCCGAGTTGATGAATGACATTAGCACGTGGGCTTGAGGAAAGGGTGTGTTACACACAACCAGAAAACATTCGTTGTTACGCTTTTAAGCTTTCCCAGGAAAGGGGAAGTCCTGGGAATTATAATGCAGTTGGTGCTTTATAAATAAATGAGCCATTAATAATTGTTTTAAAGCTGTAGGTGCTTTTATTCCCTCACCTGTGCCAGCTCATTACAAGCTTCATGCCCCTTTTGTTCTTGGTTTTTAATCCATAGCTTCTTTACAGTAGATTAACTCATTAGGGTTAAATAAACCTCCTCAGTCATCCGTGTGTTCCCTGTAAGCAGTGAGTGCAGAGCTGGCATGGTTGCCTCCGCTGGGTTTATGATTCTTGGGACCTCAGTACTTGAGTTTAAAACTTCCAGGCAGAGAACTACACTGGAACCGTGCCTTCTGGTCAGTTGGGATTAGGCACTCTTTTGTTTTGTTTTGTTTTGTTTAGAGTAGCTAATTAATTTCTTCAAAAGATAGCCTAGTGTCATTTAAATTTCCTTTTAATCTAACCGCTAACGGTATGAACTAAGTTGAATTTTATGTTTTCATTTCCCTTCTAATGAAATGATGAATTCAGTGTAAACAGCAGCACACTCTCCTGTGTTAAAATGATCTTCTGTTTCTGAAGGTGCGCTTACTGAGTGCTACGATGAGCTGGGGAACAGATACCAGCTTCCTGTCTATTGCCTGGCGCCTCCGATCAACATGATAGAGGAGAAGAGTGACATAGAGACTCTGGACATCCCCGAGCCTCCGCCCAACTCCGGCTACGAATCGCAGTTGCGCTTGCGCCTCTCCACCGGCAAGGACCTCAAGCTGGTGGTCCGCAGCACAGACTCGGTGTTCCACATGAAGAGGCGGCTGCACACAGCCGAGGGCGTGGAGCCCGCCAGTCAGCGGTGGTTCTTCTCCGGCAGACCTCTCACTGACAAGATGAAGCTGGAAGAGCTGAAGATCCCAAAGGACTACGTGGTGCAGGTGATAGTGAGCCAGCCCCTGCAGAACCCGCCCCCGGTGGACAACTGAGCTGCTTCCTGCTCGCTCCTGTTTCCCACTCTGTGGCGTGAAATGTGCTTTCACTGCTCCAAATTCCCTATGAATGGATCTAGTTCTGAGGAATTACCAGTGAAAAATTCCATCTGTGATGGAGACCAACAAAAATAATAAAAACACAAAGAGCCAGCCTTCGAGACTCATGTAACTACAATTTCTAATTTGAGAAGCAGTTAAGATATAGATAGCCATTTATTTTAAAACATTCACCAACTATGTAATTGCTGTATTTAAATGATTGGGACTATAACAGGAACGCTGCATCCGTGAAGAACAGCACCAAGCACCTTTTGAATAAAGTTTCCAAAAATATGTACATCAAATCATATCATTTCCAGATATCATCAATAACAGCTATAAGACAGAGGCTTTGATTTTTTGTTTGTTTGTTTGTTTGTTTAATGAACTCGGAAAAGCCCAGCACTGGAGGTTAGCCTCCATCCTGCTCCGGTTTGTTAGCGTTAGCTCGTGTCATCCGCGGTCCTGAAGGAGTGGAGACTGGCAGACTGTCTCAGTGCTGCTTGCCCCACGCCCACTTGTGGAACTCCTTACTTACATTCACACTAAATGCTGGTGCCTTTCAGCACGTTGGTGACAGCACCCTTCTGGAACTCTCGGCAATAATGTTTTCAGTGCAGTCAGGTCTGTCATCAGCTGGTACTTGGTTGAAAAGTCTCTTGTCGCACAAGTATGCTGAACCGTTTCTGTAATCAGTAAGGCTGTGTTCCTGTCCAGGCTTAGAAGGTCACTCCTATATAATACCCTCATTGACAGATGCACTCTGCTTGGAACTTCCTGGAGCTAACTGTGACCCCCAGATGCATAGGGCCTGGGTCAGGGAGGCCAGGAATCCATGACAGCTGTTTCCACTATGGATAATAACTTCATTATATCTGCTTCCCACTTGGCAAGAATGATGTAAGAAAAACCCATTCCGGGGAGAGGTATGCCTCTCTTTGGTCTTCCAGAGAAACATTTCAAACCACAGTTGACAAACACGAAAGGTTCACTGGCCTTCCTTAAACATCAAGAGCAAGACGACATGCTGGGAAGTGGCCTCTGGCGCTCTGACTCAGCGCTGCCTCTCAGCACGGCGGGCGACCATTTTCCCGCCTGCCTCATTCCTAGCAGAGGTCGGTTAACCATCCACCAGTTAGGTCCTGTCAGAGATCTGCTAAGATAACCTGGCTGTTGTACACAGTGGCTGGAGCAGAGCTGCCAAGGATCGTGTTTCACGGTGAGGCGTTGAAAGGCTCCTTCCATGCAAAGGGGCAGCACGAGAGCCGAGAGTCCCTGAGGTGTGAAAGAGGTGGACACACACCATGCTCAGTGGGAAACCCTAAGCCTCCATGCCTACCTGGATGTGAAACACCATTACTACTTTCAACGGCAAATTCAAACTGCTAATTAGTTTAAATGTAATAGAGTTAAATTTCATATAGCCTGATTAAATACATCTGTAATTGTACTATGCCATGTTTTTTGAGAGCTTTAACTACTTTTCTATTTTGTATTCAAATCATTTAAAAAGTGTGGTTATATCTAATTTAGGTTTGCTAATAATTGAATCTAAATTCAGGAGAAAAAAAAAGTCACATAAATTCCAAAGGACAGCTATTTCGTTTTCAGGGGTGGACATGTAAGGGTATTTCAACATACTGTCCCCGACAGCAAAGACATTCACTTGCGTGTCACATTGCCATAGCAACATCTCTCAAAAGTTTGTCGATTTGGGAAGTAAAACAGGTGGATGTTTAGACTTAAGAAAATTGATAACATATTTATGATTAGCAGAAGGTCTTGTTTGTTGAGGATTTGAGCTCTTGTTAAGAGTTTATTTCATTTTAAAGGGTCATATTCTATGGGCATGTTTCACTAACCCAGGTGAGAAAACCATGGTGCTGTTTCATTGTAAATAGATTGATACAAGATTGGACCAATACTTGATGTGTATAATTTTAGTATGTAGGATTTTTGTGCTTTTTTTTAAAAAAAAAAAATTCACATTTTCTCTTTGTCTTGGCCTTTTTTTCTGGGTTTTTGTTTTGTGTTACTCTGCCTACTTACGTGCTCATCCACATTGGGGGGATCTGCTTCATTCTGAGGAAGTGTGAATGTTTTCCTGCTTTTTAAAGCCTCAGCTCAATAAAGAACAGGATCATTGTCATCCAGCACAGGCCGTGCCACGCGGAGCCCCGCACGGTCATGTCTGTCACAGGTGCACTTCACCTCCTGCACTGAAGTTTCGGTCTAAAATAGGTTGTCAGCTTTTCTGTTAAGGATTATGCTATAATTCAGAACTCAGCACTTAGTATCAATGTGACAGCTCTTGTTTTGTTACATTTTCAACATTTTGTTTCAAGATAAGTTATGCGTGCTTGTGGGGAAAATCCCAACCTAGGAACATAGAACAAGACTCTCTTTACTCTGGCCCGCCTCTCCCATTCCTCCACCCCAGAAGCTAACGACGTGGTGCCACTTCTCTGGGCACTTGGATAGACCAGCTTTGTGTTTCTCAGAGGTAGGTGTAAGAATCATCCGGGGGCCCGGCGCGGTGGCGTGAGTGGTTAAAGGTCCTCGCCTTGCACGCCCGGGATCCCATAGGGGCGCCGGTTCTAATCCTGGCAGCCCCGCTTCCCTTCCAGCTCCCTGCCTGTGGCCCGGGAAAGCAGTCGAGGACAGCCCAAAGCTTTGGGACCCTGCACCCGCATGGGAGACCCGGAAGAGGCTCCTGGCTTCGGATCGGCATAGTATCGGCCCGTTGCGCTCACTTGGGGAGTGAATCATCGGACGGAAGATCTTCCTCTCTGTCTCTCCTCTCTGTATATCCGCCTTTCCAATGAAAAAATAATAAAAATAAATCTTTAAAAAAAAAAAAAAGAATCATCCGGAAGGCTCCTAAGAAGAGGCCGCCAGACCCTTGTCCACAGGGCCCTGGGTCAGTGGGTCTGAGTGGGATTGGATGATTTGCGTTTTCTGAAGTCTCTGGGGATGCTGAGCCTTCTGACCGGGGAGGCGGCTGAGATCTGTGAGTTCCTCGGACACACACCAGTCTGCACCTAGGCCTGTTCTCAACAGTCTCCCCACAGTCACTGCGGCCCACAGCTACTTCACCTCCGCTCAGATCAACATGGCTGGCGTGAACCGGTTTCCTTTTGAACACGTCCCTGTGTCTGTAGCATGCATTCTTCAGAGCCTTGCATTCTGTAGACATGTGTGACTTGCCCTCTCAGGAGATTGCACCAGTTCATACTCCAACAGCAAAACTTCTTATTTCCTCGTATTCTAACCAGATGATCTTGTTTTTTCCCCTCTTTATTTGAGGGACAGAGAGATCCTATCCGCTGACTTCATCCTGTAATGCCTGCAACACTGGGCCCTTGGCACTGGGCCCAAGCCCTGAAGTCTGACACTCCAGGTCTCCCCAGTGGGTGGCAAGACCCCGGTGCCTCCCAGGGTCTGCGCGAGCAGGACGCTGAAATGGGGATACTGAACCCAGGCACTCTTGGGGGCTCACGGGCATCTTACTGAGCTTTCTACAAATGAATCCAATTTTTGGAATTTGTTTTGTAGTTTTATTGTTACTTAGAGTTTAGTTTGATGAAGGCAATAGGGCAAAAAAAAATTTTTTCTCCATTGATGGGGGGAAAAAAAATCAAGCATTTTGTGGTACTTTTTAAGATGATAGACTTTAAGATTAATTTTCTTGTTATATGAACAGATAAGCTTGTGTTCATTTCCGATTGTCCGGTGCTGCAACATCATATTTTTACTTAGTAAGAAAAGTGCATTGAGTAAGTGCCCTTGCTGTGTCCAATCTGTTCTTGGTCTGGGTTTCTGGTGCTGCAGGCACCGCTCAGATGTGCGACTGTCCACTGCAGCAAAGGTCATTGCAGACCAGGTGCCCTCTTCCTGTGTTGGTGGCCCAAGGACTAGGATAACCATAAGCCTTGACAGCGAACTGATGGAAAGGAAACAATGTCACGTAGCATCCCTGAGTTTGTTTCTATTTGTGGCTGACACAGATGGCACGGGAACATGCCCGTGGCCCTGGGCCGAAGCTGGCAGGGAAGGGCAGCCTGTCTTCCATCAGACCTGTGTGTGTGTGCCCCCTGAGGGCACTGTTCCTTTAACCCTGGGCCCTAGATCCCCTGTTCGCGCTCAGGACTAAGAAACTAAGTGTAGTAGTCAGAACCACAGTAACTTATTGCCACCCAGAAACAAACACACATGGCCCAAGTAACGTGGGTTAATTCCTTGTTGAAATAATGAAAATGTTAAGTCACGAGTGGCACACTTGGCTACGCTGCCACCTATAACGTGTGCATCTTATTATCAAGCTTCAGCTTGAGCCCTAGCTGTTCCATTTCCCATCCAGCTTCCTGTTGATGCACCTGCAAGGCAGCAGCAGGTCATCAAAGAGCTGGGGCCCCTGCTACCCTCATGGGAGCTCTGGATGGAGTGTGGGTTCCTGCCGTTGGCCTGGCCCAGTTCTGGCTGTTGGAAGCATTTGGGGGGTAAGCCAGCAGATTTCTCTCCCTCGCTATGCCTTTCAAGTCATTTTTTAATAATTGAATCATAACGTAAATGAGGGGGGAAAGATCTAAAATGAACATTGATAGTTTCTTTGATCATATTCCTGATCCCCAAAGACTCATTTGGTGCATTGAATTTTAGGGATGTTTTTTGGTTTGTTTTGCTTTTAAGTTTGTTTTTTGGTTTATTTTGTTTTGGGGCTCAGCGCAATGGCTCAGTGGCTAAATCCTGCCTTGCATGTGCCAAGATCCTATATGGGTGCTGGCTCATATCACAGCTGCTCTAATTCCCATCCACCTTCCTGCTTATGGCCTTGGGACCCTGCTCCAGGGGAGACCCAAAAGAAGCCCCTGACTCCTAGATTCAGATGTGCTCAGCTACAGCCATTGTGGCCATTTGGGGCGTGAACAAGCAGATGGAAATTTTGTATCTTCTCTCTGAAACTCTGACTTTCCAATAAAAATATTTTAAAATACGTCAAATTTTTTTAAATATTAAAAATGTTTTATTGGAAAGGCAGGATTGAGAGAAGGAGAGGCAGAGAGTGAGGGAGAGATTCTATCCTGATTCATTCCCCAGGTGGCTGCAGCAGCCAGAGCTTAGCTGGACCAAAGCTAGGAGCCAGGAGTTTCCTGTGGGTCTCTTACATGTGTGCAGAGCCCAAGCACTTGCCACCCTCTGCCCCTAAAAGACAAGAGGAGAGAAGCTTTCCTAAGGTCTCACTGTGGCTCCTTGGATCAGGGTGGTGTGGCACCGTCCTTGTCCTGGCTTGGTAGAGAATTGCCTTCTGGGAGAGTGATTTCAAACCCTTCAATGACCTTCCTCCTGTCAGTCTATGCAGCACTTCCATGAGGTACGTACTCTCTCCGCATGTAGGGAACAGAATTGAAGGTCAGACGACTTGTTGGGTTTTGTTACACTAGTTCCATTAAGTCTGTGTAGTACCATTATGGGGGAAGAGAGGAATTTTGGCTGTGAAACAAATTAGTCATGTTCAAAGGCATGCTGTTAAAATCCCATAGCTCTTCAAGTAAGTACAGAAGTATTCATAGTAAGTAATGTGATCTGCATCGTTGCAGATTCGACTTGCAAATGACAATCTTAGAATGCCTCTAAGATCTTCTTATCTCGTATAATGAACATTCTGCATCAGGGATTTAAGAGTCAATGAAGGGGGCCCGGCGCGGTGGCGCAAGTGGTTAAGGTCCTTGCCTTGCACGCCCGGGATCCCATATGGGCGCCGGTTCTAATCCCGGCAGCCCCGCTTCCCTTCCAGCTCCCTGCCTGTGGCCTGGGAAAGCAGTTGAGGACGGCCCAAAGCTTTGGGACCCTGCACCCGCGTGGGAGACCCGGAAGAGGCTCCTGGCTTCGGATCGGCATAGTGACCGTCGCACTCACTTGGGGAGTGAATCATCGGACAGAAGATCTTCCTCTCTGTCTCTCCTCTCTGTATATCCACCTTTCCAATAAAAAAATAATAAAAATAAATCCTTAAAAAAAAAAAGAGTCAATGAACTGCCAGCTTACAACTTAGAATCTGTTAAAACTTCAGATTCTTGGCATCTAATTGACCTTGAATTTGAATTTTGATCCCATTATTTAGGGGCTATATGTTCTTGGGTAACAGATTAAGAAATCTCTCCGGAACTCAGTTTCCTCATCTCTCTTTGAGGATAAGCATGCTTCATTCACAGGATTGTAAGGATAAACACAGTCACACGGCTGCATGGCTGGCATAGCACATGGCCACAGTATGTGGTCGTCATTACTAACATCACAGAGAGGGAGAATTCATAAGTGCCAGATTATTCAGGGCAGTAATTATACAGGAAGACACCTAATGATTTTATCCTAATACATTTGGCTCAGGTGCCTGTGCCCCTAAGTGACCAGACAGTAATACAAGTTCCAGAAAGAAAACAACCTCCTTAAAAAGCTTCCCCCGTGGCTAGAGGCACTCGCTGCACCGCGGCCCACTGTGCAGGGGAGCCTACAAATCTGGAAACTAGAAAGGACTGTTGGGTTGTCCATGGCAAACCGCAGGAAATCATTACCTTTCGAGTGCTTCATCCCGGTGGACCTTGGGATACAGCGCGATCTAAAGAGCAAGGGTGAGCTGAAACATCAGTCTGGAATGTGTCCAGAAAAAAGAAGAAAAAGAACAAGAAAACGCTTCCAGGTCCTTGGGTCGTGGCACAGTGGGCTAAGCCACGGCCTAAAGCACCAGCCATTCCATAGGAACACTAGTTCGAGCCCTAACTATTCCATTTGCAGTCCAACTGGACGAGCCAAGTGCTTGGGCCCCTGCCACCCACACAGGAGATGTGGATGGACCCTTCAGATGTAGCACAAGGTAAACATACTCACTCGGATACTCTAAGTTTATTTGTAGACAGAGGAACCATTTTAGTCAATTCTCATTTTCTCCAAAT